GACAAACTCATCAACAGGGTAGGTGAATGAACTAGTGAGACACAAAGGCAAGCAGGCAGAAAGCGAAAGTTTTCCCTTCAGATCTCCTTATACCTGGGCTATCACCAGAAGGTGATGTCATATTTAGGGTTGGACTTCCTACTTCGGTTGGTCTAATCAAGAAAATCCATTGCAAGTATGCCCAGAGGTTTGTCTCAGTTAATTCCAAATCTAGTCAAGTTGACAAGACTAACCATCACACCACACTTAAGAATCATGGTGAACTCTGCAAACGTCTACCAGTGATGACTCTTCATATAACTTAAAAGAAAAGCAGCATGTCACATTTATAGTGTCTGAACCATGGCACTGAAATCAGCAGGGCTGCCCTCAGGATTCTGTTTCTGACTCTTGACCACTGTTGCTACTCTGTCATTAAGTCGTAGCCTCGGTACTCTGCTCAGGTCTGTAACTGCAAAGGGTTTTCACTTTTATTTGCTCCAGCCTTGACTTTCCAAGTATCCAAGGAACATAATCCACCAAAATAATATTAACATTCTTGTTAGGAATACTTGAAACATCTAGAAAGAAACTGACCCCAAACAACCATCCTGGGAAATTAAGGCATATAACACACCTCAGTCATCTTTTTGTGGGTTTTTTACTGTTGGGGTCTGGAAGTCTAGATCTTGATTAGAAATTAACTAGAGAGCCCAAAGCCATGATGCTGGTCTAGAAAGAGCTTTGGAAGGAAGACAAACGGTGGGTTCCAAGAACATACTAATATTGCATATTTTGAAGGCAAGTGGCCATGTTTGGACATCATACATGTAGGGCCCTCACACAATGCCAAAGAGATCATGCAAACTGCAGGCACTGCAGCTCCTGGCAAGCTCTGCCTGCAAGCAGAATTTGGGGGAACCAGAGACCCAGGACAACCCACAGTGATTAAAGCAGCTTTAATTCTGTTGTTTCCTTGTTAGCATATATGCATTGTACAGTGATGGGTTTCATAATGACATTTTCATTCAAATATATCATGTAGTGTTGATCATATTCATATTCTCCTCTCTCTGTCTCTCTGTATCTCTGTGTCTCTGTGTGTCTGTCTCTGTCTGTCTCTCTGTCTCTGTCTCTCTTATCTCTGTCTGTCTCTCTATCTCTCTCTCTGTCTCTCTCTCTGTCTCTCTCTCTGTCTCTCTGTCTCTCTCCTGGCTCCTCTCTCTCTCTCTCTCTCTCTCTCTCTCTCTCTCAGCTTCTCCTACCCATCCACACTGCTTAGTCCTCCTCCTCCTCACAATAATCTCTCCTCTTCTACTTTCATGTCTACGGTCACCTGTCAACAGGTGGAGGAGGTCAAGACAGAAAGAAAGCGAGCCCACAGCCACGGAAACCCGCCAGCTTCACAGTCAGGGCACATCCAGTCCTGGGAAAGCCCAGGATTTTATGAATGAGGGGGAGCTGTCTGGGCTGGCCCTCTGAGATGGGTTGGTGGTCCCTATGAGCTGGAGACCCCACCCTGTCCCAGAAGAAGAGGTGACGTCACCCGCCCCCCACTCCCAGCTCACAGGCAACCAGAATCTGAGCAGACCCCACAGGTTGCGCGAGCCCATTGGTCCCTGGCAGAGCAGAGCCGCCGCCAATCCAGCGCTGGAAGGGAAGGATCGGTGCGCAGGGAGGCTGGCGGACGCCCAGCCTGGGATCTGACGAGAGGCCAAGAGTGGGGTGGGCAGGAGGGTCCGGAGTGGGGGGTGAAGGCGACAGAGGGAAGGTCACTGCAATGACGGATACCTGGTGAAAACACGGAGGAAAGATCATCAGTAGGTGGAGACCGTTTTATAGACGCTGATGACACGTTTGTGCAGAAAAGACAACTTGAATAGAAAGTCCTGCGACCTGTGGCAAGAAGGAATGATTGATTAATAGTTGCGTTTGGTTGACAGCTTTAAAGAGAACTAATGCATAGTACCAAGGGGGGAGAAAAGGCATCAGAAAGCCTCCAGCAGCAGCAGCAACAGCCACATAAAGGCAGGCTTCTGTGTTAGGTTTGGCGCTGGAGTTACAGAAGCCCTCTGGGCTCTGAGGCATCACCCTCCACCCCTCTCCTCTCCTCCACTCACAAGCCAGAAAGACTAAGCCATTTGCTCCCTTTGGAAGCAGAGACTTTTTTCTTCACTCGGGTTTGGATGCAATTTTCCATTTCCTCAGAAGACTTTCTGTCTCTGCCTATGTCACAAGAGGACTCAAGACCAAAAGAGAAGAGCCCAGGTACTGCAAACTGTTTTGTTATATACAGTTTGAGGCTTAAGTTTATGGGAATTCACATGTCGTTTAGGCTTCTGATTCTCTTACACCTAACTCACAGGGGTTCATACAGTTGTTTTGTTTTCCAGCTGGTCAGAGAAGGACCTTCTTCTCTCTGTTCCTTTGCTGTGTATCTAATGACAGGAAGGTCACCTGCTACCTCTATTGATGCAAAGCATATTCACAATGTTTTATGATCAGATGTCACAATGACAAAAGTGGTATATGTGTGACCTTTACTAAGTCTTAATATGGGTTAAACTCATTCAAAATAATTCCATTATCTTTATAGCTATATGAAAATGCAAGCAATTTAGCATCCATAGTGTTTCTAAAGGATGTGAAAGGGTAGAATCTAAAATAAACAGCTCTATTCTAAGGAAGACTGAGGTGGATAAATTAGTTGGGTAGGGGAGCACTTTTGTTAGAAAAGCATAATGGTTTCATTTCAACCCTTGTATTTTCTGAATTTCAGGAAAGAACTAGTTTTGAATCCCTAGCTTACCCCACAAGTGGGCTGAAAATATCATTTTCCAGTGAACTGAGCATAATTCTCCCTTGGCTGTGTTCCCTCATCCCCATGGCAGTGAGGAGAGGAAAAAGCAAGAAAAAAGTCTGGCGATGTTTTTAAGCAGAGGAAGGGCAGACAGGAGTGTGGCTGCTGTGGTCCCACTAGCAGAGGGTCAAGCCCTCCCAGAGGGTCCGTTTGCTGTTCTTGGGGTCAGCAGCTGGCAGTGAAATGTCTGATGGTTCCTTTTTGGCAAGGACTTGAAGACATGTTAGAAAGTAATTTATTTGTTCTCTTTCCAACAAATAATTACAGGTGTGAAAATGTTTTTGAAGAAGGCTAAACCAAATGAAGCAAGCGTAGTATACATGAAATGATAAAACGTTACAAAATCGATCATATTTAGAAGTACAAAATTAAGTGTGCATGTGTGAAGCACATATATATATATACATATACATATATATATATATATATATATACACATACAGACATATATATTTATAAAATACTCTTGTATAAACAGAGGATGAAATCCTATGTACTTTGTGTCTTCACGTGATGAAATATCTTCATTACGGTCTCTAGTTACTCTGAGTAATAAGGATTGTTGTTTTTGCTTAGGAAGTGAGAGGCTATGAAGACATTTTCACAAGGATAAATATCTCATTTAATGATAAACATCAGTGGGAGAACAGGACACACTGTGGTTCTCAAAAGAGTGCACGTTTCATAGTGGCTGCAACAGTTTACACTCTCACCAGCAGTGAATAAGTGTTCTTTCCCCAGCTCCTCACCAGTATTTGTTGTCCTTTGTTTTCTTGATGATATCCATGCTGAGTGGGGTGAGATGGAACACTTAAAGCAATTTTAATTAGTATTTCTCTGATGGGTAAGGATATTCAACACTCTTTCAAGTCTTTATTGGCTGTTTGTATTTTTTCTTTTGAGATCTAGTCAGTAGTTCAGTAGCCCATTCATTTATTGGATGATTTGGGGTTAGTGTTGTTGGTGTTTAAACTGTGCAGTCCTTATTGAGGTTTCTCAAAAGTCTAAAAATAAAACTACCACACTACCAGATAGAGCACTCCTGGCTAATTACCACAGAGATACTTGCAAATCCATGTTTATTGCTGCATAATTCACAATAGCCAGGAAATGGAACCAACCTAGATGCCTGTCACAAGATGAATGGATAATGGAGGTGTGGTGCACATAATGTAGTGGAACTTCATTCAACCGTAAAAAACGAACTTATGATATTTTCAGGAAAATGGATGCAACTGGAAATCACTATGCTTATCCAAATAAGACCAAATCAGAAAGAAAAATAGAAAGGAAAACACCACGTGGCTTCTTTTATATGCAGAACCTAGATTTAAAATTATATTGCGATGGCAAAACTGACTCCACCTTGTTCTAGTTGACTTTTGCTTTCTGCCCAACCGTTCCCACAATGGGAATTATTTCCCACAATGCTGGGAAACTTTCAGCTAGCCCGATAGCACGTTCAGGAAGCACGTCCTACCACCCAGCTATACCTGCATCTCCATGGAGCCCACTGTCTCTGCAATTTGGAGAAATTTGTTTTGCCTAACTGAAACTTTTGTTAACTGAAAATCCCTTTGTTAACTGATCCGTTCTGATGTACCAATGGTGATTTAATGTAACTGTAGTTATTGGTTTTGCCCATGACATGAAGTAATTATGATTTTAGGCTTTATAAACCCCACTCTGCCTCCCCTCGGGGCCCAGAGTTCTTTTGGGTGTTACTCCCCGCCCCCAAACTGCTGGCTGATACAGGGCTCCTAATTCAACCATCACTATGTGGCATCATTCCTCTGTGTCTTACTCTTTGTATTACAATACATATGTGTTAGAAAGCATGTGATTAAAAGAGAGCAGACGTGAGACTGAGGGTAAGAAAAGGAACTAGCTAGAGTGGGAGAGAATATGAGGGACGGTGGTAGGGAGGAGAGGAAAAATAAGAACAAAGCACAATGACATGTATGACAGTGCCATGATGAAACCCATTACTTTGTATGAGAACTTAAAATTTTTAACTACGTTTTAGCACAAAATGTGTGAATGAGATTAGCCACTTATGACACTTGAAGAAAAAAATTCCCCAATTCCCAGAGTGCTGCATGTGTGGCTCTATGACTGTGCTTGAACTGTCTTTATAACTCCGGCTTGATGTGTTCTCAGGATGAAGGTGAAAGGCAGAGGCATCATCTGCTTGCTGGTCTCCATCACTGTGATCTGCCTGGTGGCTATCCCTAGAAGCAGGGCCTGCCCTCACCGCTGTGCCTGTTATGTGTCCACAGAAGTGCACTGCACATTTCGGTACCTGACCTCTATCCCAGAGAGCATCCCAGCCAACGTGGAACGCATCAATTTAGGGTGAGTATGGCACTACCTGATCCCCTTCTCAGAGAAGGTCCAGTGATCGTCCTGGTGACTTGTCCCCAAAACACCTATGATTTTGAGAGACTACCCTCAATCATTTTAATAGTTTTCTTCTAAAATTAGCTCTTAAGAACCTTGTGCTTGTTGAGTACAAAAACAAATTTTTTCCTGGTGTCCTTTAAATAGAACCTGAAGGTCCTCTTAGTGGTTTGGGAGCTTTGTAATTGTGAGACAGCTTAATTCTGGATAATATTTTACTATAAAATAATACAGTTTCTGTTAGCAATCATGGCTATGCTACAAGGCGTGACTGAGCAAGTAGAAGTGTCTTCCTATACAAAAGCGGTGAAAAGTCTGCCACCTCCTTTTTTAAGGCCTTTTGAGTAATTTAGAAATGCCAACACACAGCACATAGTGTTAGGCACCATCATTCACGGCTTATTCAAATGCATGACTAATTAGATCTGCCAAGCGATGATGAAATTTTAAAGGGTTATGAAAAATTGCTTGTGTGTGTATGTGAATGCACATATAATGGGGCTCAACAAGCACCCACTGTATGCCAAGCACAATCATAGCCAGTGGAATGCAAGAACAACACCATTATTCACCTTGGGTGGCTGTAATAAAGAAGTCAGACAGATGTTGTCAGTAGAGTCAATAAATAGTGTAACAGCAAACACAGTGTGTGGGAAGCAATCACCAACAGTAGGGACTCATGTCAACTGTGTTCTTACAATGTGCTGCCGTTAAGCTGCGCACTCTGCACGTATCCATTCATTAACGCTCAAGGCACCTTTGGAGTAAGTTCTGTTATCTGTAGTTCAGAGCTAAGGAAACTGGGACAGAGAAAGGCTCTTGATTTTACCCAGGGTCATACAAGCCTTGAGGGCCTGAGTTCTTCAGTCATATTTGTTGGACGCTGGAGAGTTCCAGTTTCTTAATCACTAAGATTTCCTCCTCCTGAAAGAGTGAGGGGACAGTGCTGTAGAGAACAGCCTGGGTCTAAGTATTTGCATAGAAAACGGTAGTGGAAAGGATATGGCAGCCAGAAGCTACAGCATCTATATAAAGGCTCAAGAATGGTAAAGAATGTGAAGGGGTGAGTGGAAGGCTCTTGAGATTGCAAGGATCAGGTACAAAGTGGAGCTTCTGTAGTTAAGATTAGCACAAGCATTTGAAAATCTCTTAAGAGTACAAGTAAAACAGGAGCTTTTCCTTTTGTCTCTTCTTTTGTTTGCATTATCTTTTGTTTGGACAGCTACAATGACATTTTTATTTCAGGTACAACAGCCTAGCTAGATTGACGGAAAATGATTTTTGTGGCTTGAATAAACTGGAGTTACTCATGCTACACAGTAATGGTATTCACACAGTCGCTGATAAGACCTTCTCAGATCTGCAGGCCCTACAGGTGAGAGGGGAAGAAGGTGGGGGTAGTCACAGGGAGATGACCCTGTGTACCCCCAAAGCTGCCCTTCATAGTCAACTGAAAATAAACAATGTACATTAGAGGCTGACATCACGAAAGTTTCTTTTTTATCTAATTCTACGTGGAAATTAGAATAAAGAAAATTCTGGGGGACGAGGGAGATGGCTCAGTGGGTAAGGTGCTTTCACAAGCATGAAGGCCTGATTGTGGATCCCCAGCACACACCTCATATCCCAGTGCTGAGAGGCAGAGACAGAAGAATCCCAGACAGGTGACCTCAAGGTTCAGTGAGAGAACCTGTCTTAAAAAAAATTGTAGAGAGCATAGATGGAGATATCTGACATTCACCTCTGGTATCCACGCATGCACAAACGGGAACACACACACACACACACACACACACACGCACGCGTGCACGCACACACTCATGCACACAGGAAAGGAAAGGAAAGGAAAGGAAAGGAAAGGAAAGGAAAGGAAAGGAAAGGAAAGGAAAGGGGGAGGGAGGGAGGGAGGGAAGATAACCACAGCTAAGAGGAAACAAAATCAATTCTTGGGGATTACTAAACCTTTAAAATTTACTCTTTAGAAGCCATTTCAAGGCATGTTTATCTGGAAGTAGAACGTGATCCTTTAAAATAATGACTACTGGCCGGGTGTGGTGGCGCAGGCCTTTAATCCCAGCACTCGGGAGGCAGAGGCAGGCAGATCTCTGTGAGTTCAAGGCCAGCCTGGTCTACATAGTGAGTTCCAGGACAGCTGGGGCTACAGGGAGATGCTGTCTCAAAAAGACCAA